CTGATTCCACTGTGTTTGGAATAACTAATTTAACTTCTTTGGCCTTGCTTCCACTTGGACTGAGACTACCAAGAGGTTACAACTACTTTTGATTCCTCTTCGAAATTGTCTTCCAAAGGCTCAGGTACCCATTTTTGAAAGTGGTTAAGCCTTTTCTCTTTGGCTGCTTGCTTTTTGTCCCCCTGGCAACAGTACTAACAAAGACCTGACCACAACATACCAAAAATAAAGGGACTACATTTGGTATTTCTTCCCGATCTCAAAAGATAAGGAGCACACTCCAGTTCTCTGTACAACAGGATCTTCCACATTTCTTGTGCCCAGTTTTCTATTGCTCTGTACTGTATGCACTTATTTATATCAGCACAAGGTGAAGGCAAAGCATCCTCTCTGGAAATGTGACTCTGGGATATAAGACAACACAACACACTGGGGAGAAGAGGGAGTCCTTTCATTACAATAATTAAATTATCTGCGTTTATTTTCTCCTCATTTTTGTTTTTCTCATTGAACACAGAAGAGTTTTCAAGCTGGAAGGGTAAGGCTGAATAGCATTGGTGTAGAAAAACAAGTGAAGGATGCAGTTCAGTTGGATAGCACTGTCAGACTAAACTTGTCCCAAACTCTCTGAAAAATGTGACTTGTTCATTTTTGTGACTTCATTGACTTGTTTTTTTTTCCCCTTTTCTTCTCCTTTCCCTTTCTACAAGTATATATCCCAGTTACAGCTGATTGCCTCAGTGCTCAGCACAGCCCTATGGTTTTTTGCATAATATCAGACAAAAGCCTTCATCTGGTCTGTTTCTAAGCTGTAACCAAATCTTCCTCCTCAACAGTCTCTATGGCTCAGGTTTCCAGCTTAGTCCTATTATTTCAAGATGTCAGCAGCCAAATGTTCCGTTGGAGATTCCCATTTCTCAGTATCTCATCCAAGATCCTGGTTTGCTCTAAGCTTCTCTCTAAGGTTCCTTAATTGCAATTATCTTCAAAAAAGGATCACTCATCTTCATTCCTGAATTTTATTACCATTTCTCCAAGATCTTGTTCTTACAAAGCTTCCTGTTTGGACTGCTATGCTTTGTTTTTCAGCTTCAGAAACAGCTATTAACAATTTTTCTGTTAGCTTCTTTCTAAACCTGTGTTTTTGTAAATATCTTTACATTGAAACTGAACTGCTTTGAAGATACCCTGGTTACTTCAAACACCTGTCCACATTCTACTGGTTATGAGGTCTAATGGATGTTCCAGGTTTGATATCATGTCTTAACTGTCAGTCACTCTGTTCATCAGAAATTGATCTAGTAATGTGGATTTGTCCATCACCAACAGATGTCAGATGAGCTATGTGTAATAAACGTATCTTTCTCAAATTGCTCATACCTTCAGCTATGAATGAAATGAAATGAAAACATAGAAACAAACAAAAAACACAACAGGTCACACTGTTAGGTGCATACTTCTGATATATTTATAATGTTTTGCTTACAGCAAATGGCTGGACAGGATTAGATGCCTACTGCCTGGCTTACCACAGTTATCTATATTTGAATGCCATCATATGTATGATAGCTTTTGTTTGCAGAAAATCATAAACACTGCCTCTTACTCTGTTACTATGTCATGTAATCAATATAAACTGCCCCTCAGCCCGGAGAAGGTAATTCATAGAAGATCAAACATGATTTCTTGTGGAACAAATAAAGAAGAAGCATTCTGTTACCACAAAGAGAACATTAGTAGATGTATGAATTGCCATCTCCACTTCAGATACTGTGTTGTGTGGCCCTGGCAAATGTTATTCAAACTTCAGACCTTGGCATCCAGTGACTGACCATGCAGACTGTCAACAATAGGCCATGAAAAGCAGTGGTATTGTCTTTACAACCTCCTGACATAAGCTTCGTGCAGATTAGCTGGACTGGGATTGGTATGCTAGGTTTATTTGATCACAGTATGCATTACCAACTTGAAAGGAGCACTCCAATACTTCATGACAACCAGCAAACAAGATAGCAAGACCTCAGTGGAAATGTGTAAGAAATAACTTCTCTAAACTATATGATAATATTTCCAAGTCCAAATAGTGTACAAACTTCAGATCAACTTGTTAAAACCTTCAGCTTCCTAACATCACATGCTTGATTATGGTGTGAAATAGCAGAGGGGAAATTACCTCTTCTGTTGTATCATCCTTATCCATACTTATGTTTTCAAGTACAAGCCCTTCAGCATTATCAAGGATCTTTATTCCATCAGTAAGTTCAGTCGCAAAAAAATCCTCACCAGATTCATACACCACGTTAAGTTAGTGGAGATGGTCACCAAAGAGCAGAGCTCAGCGCTGCCCCTCGGCTCCTGTGAGGAGCTGCAGCTGCCATCAGGCTCCGCACCGCTCCTCTGCTCTGGGCAGAGCAAACCCAGGGACCTCAGCTGCTCCTCACGTCTGAAAGACTAATGTGAATTGGCTCCTGCAGAAGTATCACTGTAAATATTACAACTTTTTTTTTAAGCTTATTTTAAGCAAATGTCACCCAGGCTTTTCTTTTCTTTGTTCAAAGAGACACTTAAAATAAATGGTTGAAATTCCCTACTGCCTGACAAAGGCATCTGAGATTTCTTGGGGAAAACCGTGTACTGTAAAATGAAGTCAAAGTCTCTCTGAACTTTCTTCTTTACAAATTCAAGAGGTAAAATAGTGCTCACAAAGAAAATAATGCATCCACAGCAGCTTGCTGATAAATTAAAAAAAGACCCTCAACGAGCAGCAAATTGGCATAGTGCTTTACTGCACATTATCAGTAAGTTTCTCCTTCTGCAAGTTTCCTTCTGGTACAGTTACCTAACATCCCGATTGCTTCAAGAGTACGTTGTACAATATCTTTCTGTTGCCAAAAATTGATGGAGATAAAAGCGTTCCTTGACATGAAACAAGCTCCAGTACACAACCAATTGAAACCGTCGATTATGACAGTTCTCAGAAGCCTTCAGTCCAGGATCACCGGTCCCGTTACTAAACACTCTTCCTACCCGTAGACACGAGCGCCCCCCGGAGGAGCGGAACCCCCCCGGCAACAGCAGTGCGGGCGCGCCCCCTGCTGGCGGCCGGGAGTGTTGTTCCTCTGCCCTCGCAAGACGGGGCAAAGGGAGCAGCGGTTCTGTGTGGCTTGAAAACCTGCCCGCGGCCCCGAGAAGCTGCTCATGAGCGAGACGCATGTTCGTTTTGTCCCATTCACCCTCAAGTCTTGCTCTTACACTGCAACATTTCTGCTCTTGCTAGGAGACCATTACCAAGCTCCTCCAAGGTTCTGAGAGCCAGCAAGTAAAAATTAACAATGAAGCAAATGAAAATGTTGCCTTTAGCACAAGCTATTCTTGGACCTTTTGTTCTCTGTTGTCATGGCTTAGTGCTTAACATCGAAACTAAATTTGTCCAATGACAGACGTGCTGGGGAGGGGACAGCTTCCAAAGTATTAGAGATATCCCAGCAACAACAGGCAGCCGCACAAGCGCAGCCCTGCAGCTGAATGCAAGGGGAGCTGTAACTGAGTAGAGAGACATCAGAAATGGAAAGGAAACCTATGACAAAGGTCTTGCAGCAAACGAATGCCATATCACTGTTAAGAAAATTACCAGATTGCTCAATTACTCAACTACTTCAACAGGGAATAAAATTACACAAATCCATTGTGCTATTCTGTATTATTAGGAAGGTTTTTGAATAATTAAAAAAAAAAGTCCTGTACAACTGTGATGACTTTTTTTTCTGCTGCTGCAAGGACCACTGAAATGTGTTGAAAGAGAACCTGATAACAGCAGGACGAGGGGAAATGGTTTTAAGTTGAAGGAGGGAAGATTTATGTTGGATGTCAGGGGAAGTTCTTTACTGTGAGAGTGGTGAGGTGCTGGAACAGGCTGCACAGAGAGGCTGAGGATGCCCTGTCCCTGGAGATGTTCAAGGCCAGGTCGGATGGGGCCCTGGGCAGCCTGGTCTGGTATTGAATGGGGAGGTTGGTGGCCCTGCATGTTGTCAGGGGAATTGAAGATTCATGATCCTCGAGGTCCCTTCCAACCCTGGCCATTCTGTGATTCTGAGTTCAAATCTTCTATTTTTTATTTTATTTTTTTTTTGGTCTTTTATAAATCCAAACTGTGATATGAGGAAAAAAAAAGAAAAGAAAAAAAAAAAAGATAAAAAAAACTTCCCCATCACACTCTTTCTGTAAAAATGTTTGGCTTTTACTTGTTCCAAGTTATTTGCAAAGGAATTTGCAGTGATTTCCTGCAATGGAATATAATGGAATATACGTGGGAAACAAAATTCCTTCTCCAAATTACTCTGCTAGCGCATTTATTCTTCCTATACTTTTTCAATGTATAATACAACCATATTTGTAGGGGAGGTTCAGACACGGCATTATGAGAAACTTCTCAAGCCTGAGAGCGATCAGTGACACAGACATCCCAGCGAGGCGGCCCAAGCTGCACGTCCGTCCATCTGGATAACGCCCTCCTTAATAAGCTTCAACTTTTGTTTGACCGCTAACGCGACCAACCGGAGCAACTCTCCGCCCGAGGCCCCGTGTTCGCCGGGCGTGTACGGCGCTGAGGCGTTGCTCCGATGCCGCGCACCGCCCCACAGCGCTTACGCACACAACAGCCGCAACGGTGCCGCGCGTCTGACGGCGTGGAGGCGGCGACCGCCGCAGGCCGAACGCCGACCCGGCCCGGTGGGCGTTAGCTCCGCGCCCTGACCAATCGGCGGCCGCGCTGCGCCGGAGCCGCACCGCCCACTCGTTGGGACGGAGAGAGGGCGGGACCTGCGGCGGCCAATCGCCGCCGAGCGGCGGGCGGGCGAGGTGCTCGGTGCCGCCCCGTGAGGCGGCTGCGCCGTGGCCCTTGGGCGCCGCTCAGCGCCGCGGCCGCCGCCCGGAGGCCCCAGGCAGGTTCAGGCCTCGCCGCCCGCCCCTCGCCGCTCGCTCCGGCCCGCGGCCCCGCGGAGGGCGGGGAAATGCAGCCCCCGGGCCCTCAGCAGCCGCCGCAGCCGCCGCCGCTCTTCGCGCCCAACAACGGGGACTTCACTTTCGTCTCCTCGGCCGACGCCGAAGGTGAGCGCGGGGCCGCTCCCGCCGAGCGAGGGCCTCGGCCCAGCCCGAGGGCTGCGGGCGGCTCTCGCCCCCGCGGCGGAGGCACCGGCCTTTTCCCCAGCGCGCCGGCAGGGCGCGGGGCGCTGAGGCGGCGCTGTGGCGGTGTGTGCGTGGCAGGGCCGGCGGGCTGCTCGGTGCCCTGACGTAACCGCGGCGGGCGCTGTCCTCGGCGCCCTCCCACCCCCGGCGCCGGCGGCTCGCTGTCCGTTAAGCCGCGCTGCCTGCTGGCACCCGGCGTAGCTACGCTCGGGGCTGTTTCGTACGGTGATGAGGGGTTAAGCGGGGACCGTGTGTAGGTGAGGGGGCGAGGTGCGGCCTACCTGCTGTGCAGACTGCGTACCTGTCGTGTAACTGCGTGCCGTGAGGGCTTAAGTCTCGGCGCTATGGAAGAGTCAACGTTGTGCTGCGTTATTTTGATGGAGAACGACCCTTGGGACTGTAGCCATTTAAATAACCAGCTTTCTGCTCAATCTATATAGTTACCCAATAGTTGTGGATCGGGTTGGGAACGGTGTACGTCCTGGCTCTCGAACCTGGAAATGAAGAATTGAAGTGAAATGCCACTACAGAATGCTTAGCTCTGTTCTTTGGTGAACTTGTCAGTTCTTCTGACAGGGAATGCTAATTGACAGGTACACTCCACGTTGTTTTATTTTCATTTCTTTCTCCTTTTCCACCATGGCCTGAGAAAGGAGCTAGGTGCCTCCAGAAGAAGACTCTTGGGATTCTCCCTGGAAGTATTTGCTGAGAGCTATGTTAGTGCTCTGCTGGACCTAAGCCATAGTAAGCACCTGTCCTGCAGGATGGGTTGAACAGGGTTTGGCTCTGCGTTCTCTGTGGGCGCAAGCAAGGTGTGATCTCATCCCTGTTTGAGTGTAGCCCTGTGTAGTCTGCAGTGTTATGCCTGTGACAGTGGTGGTGAAAACATCTGGACTCTCATTAGAGAACACCAGAAACATGAATTCCTGTCAGGTTCTTCAGTGCTCAGGTGGCCTGCTATGAACTGTCCTGCCATTACAAAGCAGACTAAAGAAGACACAACAGCACATTTTTTCCCTTGGTTTCTTCAGCTTTGTCCCATCTGAGATACCATCTTCAAAACAGACTTAAGATCACGTTAACAGGTTTGATGATCTATAATGCGGTTGTAGGTATTCTGTAATCATCTTCTGCTAAAAGGAACATCGGTAAATAAGACTGATGTAGAAGATTTCTATCCTCAAGATGGGTTGTCACCAGTCACTGAGAACCGATAAATCAAATCCGTGGCTGATCAGACTGTTAGTGTCTTGTTTTGGCGGGCACAGTTGTGCACAAAGTATGACAAGGATCCTCCTTGCAAAGCAGTGCTGTGTTATAGACAAACCAATAACTTTAAAATGACAGAAAGGTCCAACTGATAATAGAAGACTTGTGAGCCTTTCTCTGCCTTGAAGTTCAGGCTTTAAGAATCAATCTTTCCCCCTCCCTTCTCCTCTGAAGACAGCTTTGCTTGCATCTGATGGGGATGATATTAATGTGCGTATGGGTACAGGAGCAAAGAGAAGTTTCTTCTTTAAGTTACTTTATGAGGATCCTGTGGGGATGATGTTCTCGGAATCAAAGCAGTGGATGGTTAGCTACCACAATTATGAAATGATTGAAAAGCAGTAATGGGGAAGCTTAAATTTAAGCTGGAGTGTCCTAGCAAGCTGATTTAGGACAGCGAATCCTGTTAAATTAATTGTGATACTGAGCGTAGAGCAAATGATTCAGTAAATGCTGACTGAACACTGTAGGATGTCCTGTCATTGGAAGAATCTAAATTCTCCAAAACCATGTTGCTTTTGGATAGGGGTGTCAAACGTAACCCACAAATGTGACCTGGCTTGTGTCAGTATGTGTTGCAGAAACATTTCAGAAGCACTCGCTGGAGCTGAGTGTTCAGGGAAATTCATACGTGCGCTTGTGTGTGAAAGCACACAACAATACAACTGCAAAACAAGGTTTTCTTTGGTGAAGCAAGATGATGTTGGATGGGAGGGGAGTTTTTGCCTCTCAAAACTTTTGTTACAGGGTTCATGCAAAGAACTGACTTGTTGCTGTGTTCTGTTTTTATGCAGAAAGTAAATTCCTAAATTCTTGGAATGTGTACTCTTATCATACACTAATGCTTTTTTATTACTTCAGGCTGCTTAGTGTATTTTCAGTTACTATTTTGTCTTTTTCCCTGGTACATAACTGACAACAAAGTGAATAAAATTAATATTGGTGACTTTGACTCAGCTGAAACATGCAACAGTTGCTTATGTTTGTGTTTAGTACTGTGGTAGAGCAAGATGTTAGCATGTTAAAGAGCATTCCTTGTATCTCGTTATTGAACAGAACCTGGGGAGCTCTAGCAGTATTCTTTCTCCTAATGTTTTCCACTGTATTAAAAGCAGGTTACAAATGAGAAAAGCTACAAATGTTTTCCTCTGTGTGAAGCTGGATGCAAGCAGAGAATAGCTTGGGTGAAACAATGCCATTGTGCAGGAATGGGCTCTAAAAGAGATAATGTGGTCAGCAGAAAATGATAAATAATTCACAGTTTATGGTATGATGATTTAACTCCTTTATGATATGATTTAACTCCTTTATACCTCCAAATGATCAGTGATAAAGCAGGAATTGCAGCATGGTCTGCTATCTAGAAGCTAGAACTTGCTAATTGGAGTCCTAAAACAACTTTGTTACTGTTGCATGAAACCAGAAGTACCCTTTCAGATCATGTAACTGTTGGTGTATGACTTTGTCTATTCCGTGGTGATGACCTGCACATGTAGCTTTTGTACATATTTATTTATTTTGCAGTGATTTTGAAATCAAATGTATTCTGGCAAAATAAAAACTTATCTTTTCCTCTCCTTTTTTCTCCAAGATCCTAGTGGGTCCATAACAGCTCCAGATGTTAAGCTAAATCTTGGAGGAGAATTCATCAAAGAATCGTCTGCAACTACATTCCTGAGGCAGAGGGGGTATGGCTGGCTTCTGGAGGTGGAAGATGATGACCCAGAAGATAACAAGCCACTCCTGTATGTACTAATTGTTTGTGGATATCTCTTTGTTAGCTGCCTAGGGAAAACAAAGAGCTTGTAAGTCCTCAAACTGCCTGCTAGTCTTCTGCTGTGGCTAAAATTCTGTTTGACAAATTGCTCATCCAATTGGTCTCTTTTGGTGCGGGAGTGAAAATGCTGGTTTTTGTTATGGTGGGTTTTGTTTATTTTTATTATTTGTTTGTTTCTTTAGCTATAAAAGAGACTTGTCATTCACTGTGGGAGAGCAAGGGAGGAGGAAATAAAATCAAAATTTCATTATGTTATAAGAATAGAAATGTAATGGCTTTTGTATTCTTATCTGTTGATCTTGTCATGGTTTGAAAAACTAGATTGTGTTCTGCAGCACGGTTGCAAGTAAGGTAGCAGAAACTTCATATTCTCTGATGCTGCCTTATGAAGTTCTCTTAAGGGAGATTACTGTTGAAAGACAAAAATGTCTTTGAAACTGCTGATGTCTGCATCACGTTCACGGGAACGTGATTGTCAGAAGAAAGCTGTATCTGAAGGTTATTACTCTGAGGGGGACTGCCTGGGTCTCAGTCTGTGTTCTCCACCTAAGCAACATCATTCTTGTTGTCTCAAAGTTTTCCTGTTTAAAGATAATGATGCTTTTAAAAGTGGAGTGAGAAGGAAAGTACTCTGAAGAGCTGAAATAAGAGCTCTGAGAGAAAACAGGTGCCTGGAGTGCTTAATAATGAAATTGTTATTTGAAAAGTACTTGAAATGTGCAGAAGTAGCACCTGTGTGTCTGAGTCTGTTCTGTAAACCTGTAATTTAATTAAGAAATAGAATGGCGTACTGAGGTGACAACAGATGAATTCCCTCTTTTGTGCAAAGTTGTATACCACACACAAAAAAATCAAGCTTGTGATTCAAAGACAGCTCTGTGTTCTAAGAAGCCTATTCTTGGAAGTGAGGAGAACAAGCCAGGAATAATTTTATAGCAAAGAGGACGAATACCAGCCTCCTAACAGAGAAACTCAGTCTGATTTCACGTTGCAGCTTTTATGCAGTTCTGATTATTCCCAGAACGTGTGTTGTTATGAAGCGTTCTAATCCGAATGCTTCTGTGGATTTAAAGAATAGCAGACAGCAAAGATAAGTTCTCTGATGCAGCGCTGTCACACGAACATTTTGTCCAACAATTGGATTGTTTCTTTGCCCTCACTGGACTGCTGTGCTTTTGGCACTTGTCTCCTGTTACAGCTATCATCTCTTCAGTGAGGTAACTGTCAGCATTGTGGGAAAGAGCTTTTTTACTTGAAACACTATCAGAAGCCTTAAGAAGTGACAAAGAAGTCCACAAAGGAAATATTTCTGTTATGCAACTGTCAGAGTGGAATATACACGTATTAAATAAACAAAGGAGAAATATAACATTGCTTTAAAATGGAGAAAAAATGGATGCTTTTGGTCCACTCCCTTATTTAGGGTTGTGTTGATGAACAATTTTTGTTATTTAGGCACAGGTTAGAAACAAAAATTGTGACACAGCCTCAGTAACAGCAATCCTGAAATGGGCTTAAGACAATCAATGAACAGTACTTCCTTTTTGAAAGAGAAATTGTGATGAATTGTCTTTGTATTTATTTCTTGCTGCTTCTTTATTTTCTGTTGATCTGATGAGATATATTTTGAATGGTATGGGATCAGTGAATGTAACTAAAATATTTCTTTAGGATTTGAAACAAAATTATTCCATAACAAATGTGCTCATGGCAAACTTCAGCATAAGAACACGCAGGCGTCCTACTGCTGAGTACACATCTTTGACTTCTGTTTCCAGTTTTATAAATGTTACATGTTCCTTGTATGCCAGAAAATAGATCTCCTGTCTTAACGTAGGCTATTAAGATGTGCTGTGGATGTTTTCTATTCTCAGGCATGTAATTGATTTTTGTAGAATAAAATATGTCCGTGTCATACTGGTTATTGAATGTGCGATGAAGATATGGCGTTGCTTTTCTCTGGACAAATTGTTCCATTGCCAGTCATGGCTACAGAAAGCCTTATGGTGATAGGAGACCTGCTCTGTAAACCTTCTCTTAGTCCAGGAACTTAATTGTTATGATCTGTTTCATTTCTGTGCTGTATTGTAACGCTCCCTTGCTTTCCGATTTCAGGGAAGAGCTCGACATTGATCTGAAGGATATTTACTACAAAATCCGATGTGTGTTGATGCCTATGCCGTCTCTTGGGTTTAATAGGCAGGTAGTGAGAGACAATCCAGACTTCTGGGGTCCTCTGGCAGTTGTCCTCTTCTTCTCAATGATTTCATTATATGGACAATTTAAGGTATGTACAAACCTTCTGCTTAAAAAGAAATCGGGACTAAATTTGGGGACGTTATTGCTAAGCAATTTGCATTCTTATGTAAGCAGAAAGTCTCTTTTTCACATATTAATGTAGGGCATTCTAAATATAGTTTTTTGACTTACAATGTAGAAAGATAGCACTAAGAAATTTATTAAATAACCTACAGAAAGGTAAATTGTTATTAAAATGTCAGGCTTTTTTATATAATAAAATGAAAGAAAGATGTGGTTTCTAGAGGAAGTAGATCAAGCTAATACATTTACAGTCATTAGTGAATCTTTCCATTTTAGTTGTAACCTTTTGATAACTTGCATTCTAGTACTAAAAGGAATACCAAAGAACTTCTGTGTAGATGTCATGAATTCTAATTTCCCAGCAGGTTAAGCTCTTTGTTTAATCTGTGACGTATTACAACACTTTTCTGGTATGTTTAGTCTTCATTAGTGCACATTACTCTTTTGTCCTCTATGCTCAGCTACAATAACTTTCCTCTGGTTAATAGAATTTGCCTATAATTCTTTTTGAACTCAAAACTGAATAGTTATTTGAAGATACTGTGCAGATTTACTTGGCTTCTCTAAACACAGTTAAGCGCACATTCAAATTGAAATAGAAAAAACTATAATTTACAGCCACAATTTGAGTGTGAGCCTAGGTGATGTTTTTCTAGTAGTTAATTGCATCCCCCTATGGAGATCTTTGACTACGTGTGTAGTTACAGATTTTTTAATTACAGCATAGAATAGCAATAAGGCATGTATGTAAAGTAGCAGAGTATGTGCTAGGATTTTTGTGAAAGGTAAGAGAGGCTCTCTGTGGCCTCTGGCCTCCGTGTGATATACCAAACAGTGATAAAGATTTCCTCCTGTCATGTTTCTGTGAGACTTGAAGTGAGTAGACCAAAACACCATAGGATTCAAATCTTCTGGGTGCACCACTTAGCTGTTTTCTAGACAAAGCAGGGACCATCCCTCAATCCCACAGTGGATCAGTTTGCTGCTGTTGCTTGTGTATCTACTGAACCCAGGAACACCTGACTTACTTTGAAGGTTCTGTTGAGCTGGAGTGTGATTTTAAGACTTCTGAAACAATGAAAGAAGGAGGAAAATAATTACTTTTTTTTTTTTTTTTTTTTTTTTTTTTCTCCTCCAGGATTCTGAATCTGTTTCTTAAATTGTAATCATAATGTTTTATCAAGAATTAAAGTCTTGTGCCTTCTGAGTATTCCTGGTCTGAGGAAAGAATTAAGTTGTGTCTTCACAGACAATGGAAGGAGAATCTCAACTCTTTGTACTGGTTGGGTTGACTTAAGGAGGAAAAAAAGAAAATCAAAACCAAACCAAGCAAACAAAAAACCTGAGCCAAATTTTTGAATAAGTGAAGATATTTCAATAGAGTGATCTTAGCTTTACTTTTTAGCTAACCTCTTCCTACTCTGATGGCACAGCACAGTACTTACAAAACACTGTTTAAGCATCCCTTCTTCATCGAACTTACATTACTGTGATTTTGTAAATGTAACATCTGAATTTTATTTTCAAGCTCTGTTGTGGTACTGAATAAAACTAAACTTGCTGCAATTCAGAACTTAATTTTGTGTAATAAAACTCTTGAGTGCAATGAGGTGATTTATGATTTGTCTTTCCTTACAGTGAAGAAGAGTAATGTCAATTAATTGTTCTTTCCATTTTAAGGTTGTTTCTTGGATTATAACTATCTGGATATTTGGATCCTTGACAATTTTTTTACTGGCCAGGGTTCTTGGAGGAGAAGTAAGTACCTCTAATATATGGAAAGTTGGTAGAGGGAGAGAATTTCAAAATCTCTTGGCTGTGTTTTTCACTAATAGCTGGCTTTTCTTAGTGCTTGACTTTTGACATTGTAGCCACCTAAGAATGAGTGAAATTGAAAACTTCAGTGCCTAGATTTCAGGTTCTCGGTCACCAAAGTAGAATCTAAAGTCTAGAAGTGGGCAGCTGCTCTTGCTATGCGGTGCATGGATTGCTGGATGTGTTAAACTATCTGCAAATTCTTGCCACAAATCTCAGAGCTTGTTGTGTGTGCCTCTGATCCAGAGCTGAAATCCTTTCTTGAGGTAAGGTTTTTTTTTTAAATGCTTTCCGTTTTTTCAGGCACTGAGCTAAATGGGGCCATTTCTCTCACTTTTTTGAAAGTGGGCTGGCAGCAGTCGCGTAGCAGCCTTTCGTACAGAGCACCTACTGTGTTTGCTTTCATCCTTGGCCTGATGGAGTTCAAACCCATTAAGGGATGAAAGTCAGCGTATGTACTTCAGCTGCAAAGCCAATTGAAGTTCTGGCCTACATCCCTCCCTCCAGTCGCTTGCATCAGCGGGGTTGGCATAGCTGTTAAAGCTGTGTTTAAAAACTGAGTCACTAAGTGATTCAGGTGTAAACAGTATCATGGCTTACAGCAAAGCCCACAAGCAGCTACTGTGGAACAGTGGCGAGGACAGAAGCTTGTGAAAATGGTATTGCAGTTTAAAATGCATTAATCGTCTTGTTAGTATCACTGATAAGTAAGTTCTATATTTTTACTATGCATTTTCTGTTAGTGGTTTGGTGGTGGTCTTTGTTATTTTTTTCCTTTTTAGGTTTTCCTTTTAATCATAATTGCTAGAGGGTTCTTGTCTGAAAAGTACTTGGAAAGAAAAAGCTTTTAGGAATGTGATTGCGTGGTATTTTAGTGTACCAGTGTAATCCAGATGCCTTTAAGTCTGCAGGTTTTGTGGCTTAAAATGTAAAATTATCAGAATGTATTAACTGGTGAGAAAGGGGAGGGGGATCACTGTAGCTCTTCGGAGTTGATTGTGGAGGACTTAATGCCACATGAGGTTGCTTAAAGACAGTTGCTTGTCTTGCTGCTATTTTTCCTAAGTTAAATCCAGCAAGTCTAAGTGAGCCAAGGGACATTTCCAGCTGCAATAGGGAAAACAAACGTTTTAATACCAGGAAGCTAATAGTAGTTGTGGAAGTACTTTGAACAAATCTGTTCAAGCTAGTCAGAGTATGTCAGGTTCTAGATCTTGATCTAAATGCTTCCCTTATAAGTGTTAAAATTATCATCTGAAGTTATTTTAATTTTGGTTTTTAAAGCAAGTTATGTTTTGTAGGAAGATAACTACAAAATTCTAGAGGATTGAACAGAAAAAACAGTTTGCATGCTAGCAATCTTCCTTTGGCAAAAAATTCATGAATTGTCAACACATTTTTATGGTTACTCATACTGTTAAAAAAACTGGAAAAGATTGTGTGATAGAAGTAATTTTGTGCTAAAGCTTGTTTTTATGTGCTTGAAAATTCCAGGTTGCTTATGGCCAAGTTCTTGGTGTGATAGGATATTCCTTGCTTCCCCTCATTGTCATAGCTCCTGTACTTTTGGTGGTTGGATCATTTGAAGTGGTTTCTACCTTAATAAAAGTAAGTTCAGTAACATGTACCGAGAATTGTTTACTGTTGTTCTGTATCACTTTGCTAACACTTGAAGTATGAAGACTTGAAGTCCATACAGGACACCTGTTAAAATACTTAGAAATATAACCTGAACTCTGTGGTTCTTTTGGTTATGGCTGCTAAGCAAATTCTGTTTTAAATGTTTCTTTTGAGTATTTGGGAACATACAGTCTCCGGAAATATGAAAGCACCTGTTTTTATAAGCTTAGCTTCTGTTTAAGTATTTTGCCATGTTATATTTGTTGCATTGAAAATCAAATAGGACTATCATTTTTAAAGAAGGATGCATAATTAAAAATCAGAATGAAGTATCTGAAAATAAGCTGTTCTATCCCTTCCCCCATCATCAAGTTTTAGTTATTGCTGTACGGAAGTAGAATGTGAGGCACAAAGCAGAAATAATGTCCTTGATACTACCTGCTGTTGGACACCTTTGATGAAATTAGCATCATTCCCTGATAGATCCTAGAAGTGCATGATGTTCTTGAACACTTCATACAACTCTTATAGTTAGCTTTTGAAGTCATTGCTAAACTTCTGGCGCTGACTGAGAAAACTTTTTGAGATCTTGCTCTGATGATTTGATTAATTTCTGTCCTATTGACTTGTTGGTTTACAATATAATTGAAATACAACTAACTGTATGATAAACCAGAACAGCAGCTCTGCTTGTGATTTGATAACTTGCAATTGCTATTAGGGGATACATTCAGAAAGCAAATTATTAACTTGGCATTTAACTAATATGTAACTTAAAAATAAATACAAGTAGTTAATGAAACGTCTGTTACCTGATTGCTAATAACCTTACATTAACTTCAGGGCAAACCTCTACAAGTTTCCTACCTTTGGATGGTTAGGTGTGAAAATGCAGGGCAAGCTCCACAGGGGCCAAAACTACCTACACTGACAAGTACTACTTCCTATGGCTTAGGAGCTCTGGGGACACACGTTCCTCAGTCTTAAAGCTGGGGAACTTAAATAGGGAAACAGCATTACTCAGTTGTCTTCCAGGTACAGTCAGCAAACTACTTAAGCACCTTGATTGGTTTGGGGATTTTTTGCTGCAGTTTTCTTAATGTATCAGAATTTAGTCACAATCCTGAGATAGTTTTATAAATATATATCTAATAATTATATATTATTATTATTACTATTACTTTCCTTCTTGTTCACCTCCACAGTCCCAGTTCAGGCACCTTAACCACTAATATGCAGCTGGGGTTGGTTTGTTCTTAGCAATGGCAGTTGAACCAGTCCCACCATCCATCAAGCATCTTGAGCTTCTCTGACAGCACTGTGGGAAAAATTCTTTACTGGGATTCTGTTGTGTCTGCCCTTCACTGAACAGACCTTTGGCCTTGCTGCTTGCAGGAAATGAGTGCTTTTTCTTTGTCGTTATTATTCAAGTTGTTGCTTGAGGATAAAAGATGTTCCACTATTTTTTGCTGTAATCTTAGTAACTTGAGACTTGAGTCAAATTCACTGACCTGAAGACTTTGAAAAATGAAGTTTTAAAAAGTAGGTAGACTAACTGCATGTAACATAGTGAATACACAGTGATACTTTCTACCAGTCTTTTGAAATGGTTAGTTATTAACTGAGGAAGCAATCAAGTCTTTGACACAGATTCTATTTTGGGAAGTTTCTCATTGCACCTGAAAGGACTAGGAACAGAATGTTTCAGTTACTTTAAGTTGGGGGCCCATAATTAAAGTAAAGCTTATGAGTCAGACAAATCCTGAAGTAAAAAAGGGCAATTTAACACTCTGGTCTATCTCATAGGTAGAAGTCAAGTATAGCAACTTTTTTCTTCAGAGAAAAATTCAGTGTTTTTTGAGTTGAAGAAACTTACATCTTGTATTCTCCATGCGTCTTATGTTAGAGGAAACTTACTGTGAGTTAGCTGCTTGTCTCAGTAGAAATGTTGTCTTAGTCTAACATAACACACCTGTATTAAATACTTTTCTAGACTGAAATGATTATCCATAGCGTGTTATTTCATGAAGTCAGAAGTCAGGGTCAGAAGTATTGCTTGTGAGGTTTGCTTTATTATCTTCTTTCTTCCTCACAAAGTTGTACATTTCTAATTATGTTGAAAGTAACTATTGTTTTTGTTTGTTTGTTTGTTTGTTTAATTTTGAGCAATTTTCTTATGGCATCAGCTATATGAAGACTGTTTGTTTTCTATTTCAGCTGTTTGGAGTCTTTTGGGCTGCATACAGCGCTGCATCTTTACTAGTCGGAGAAGAATTCAAGACCAAGAAGCCCCTTCTAATTTATCCCATCTTTTTATTATACATTTATTTCCTGTCCTTATACACTGGGGTGTGATCTAGTGAAAGATGTGGCCAAAACCCATGTTTTCTTCACTTGCAGACTGATAATGTGTAAGATTAAGGAGGCTGGAAATAATACAAGTGACTGTTTTGTATCCAGTTGTCAAGATGTTTTAAGATTGAAGAGCATATTTGTGTATATTATTTAATGAAGTAATTGTAGCTATATAGATTTGTATCAAAGTTCTAGGTTTGTTTAAGACTCTTCAGATTTTAATGAACAAAATAAAAGACCTTGTGTTTTATATAAAAAAAAAAAAAAAAAGTGTAGCAAAACCACAACTCTATACCTGTGCCAAAAGCACTAGGACCAGATTACTATATTAGAGGAGAAAAATAAGTTAATTGTAACAATCTCAAAGTGCAATTTTTTCTTTTGAGCTTAAACAGCTGGCTTTTTTCGGCACAGCAAATTCTGTAGATAATATATATATTTATTAAACAGTCCTTATTGTTCACAGAATAGCCTGTATAATGAAGACATGAAGATACTACTTATAATTTAGTGCCTCAATTACTTTCATTTGGCTCTTGAGTTTTTATAAATTCCAATTTGTTTCCAAAATATGTATATATTGTGTATTTTGTATCTATGACTTGCGTGTAGCATACGTACTCCTTGGTTAAGGATGTGTATTGGCTTTTCAAAATTTGAAAATACAAGTATTTAAGGTCTTCATTTACCATCTCTGACCAAAGGAGCAAGACACTTACTGTGTAACAGAAAGCATTAAATTGCTTCTTTAGAGACTCAAGTTAATGTACTCCAGTTTTAAATTTAGAAAGAAACAGGTGAACACCTGCCTCAGCTGTAGGGCTGGTTTAGTGTCAGAGGGGGAAAAAAAAACCAATTTGTGTGCTCTTGAAACAGTGTTTTATGATGACAAAATAAAAAGAATGCTTCCCTAAGTATATTTTATAGCATCTTGCTCTATTTTTTTTTTTTTTTTTTTTTTTTAATAGTAATGACATTTAACCTGCATTTTCCTTTTTTCCCAAGGTTGATTCCTTACAAAAAGTAACAATATTTGTAAGGTCAGATTCTCTCCCCCACTAGAAGAGCTAGAACTACAGCCTCAGTAACAGTCTTGCTAATTTTGACTATCCAAGGATTATGTAAGAAGGTGATGACATTAAATATTTCCTGTGTACTGTGTTGATTGCGTATGTAATAGTCCTAACGGTAACGTTTCTTCTCAAGAAAACTCCACTGAAATTCACTTTGCATGGTACTTTGTTGTTTGCAACCTTCAGTATTTAGAATTACCAAACAGATCTCAAGTATCTTTTATTATTTTAATCTTTGGTTGGGGGAAGCATTTCCCCAGCTTTTTTTTTTTTTTTTTTTCCTCCATCCCAACGCGGGAAATAAAAGTCACCCATGGAAGGGAATAGCAAGGGCTATCTTTGATCCGTAATGGATGTATTTCCTTGTGAGAACTTTCTCAGCTTTTTCAATGGCATAACTTGCCAGTTTAGCAACTTATTTTTACCGCTCGTTATTGATGCAAAATACAAATGTAAATTCCAATTCTACTGTGGCCCTTTAGCTTACTTGGACTGCTTCTCTGGCTGATGCTTGTGTTGGTTGGAAACAAAACTACTGAAAGTTGATATTGGACATAAAACTGTAACATAATATTCTGTCTTGTAATACATTAAAGGACAAAACCTGGTGGAGTGACTGACTTTTCACCTAATTTTTGACTTCTGTGGAAGTTTTGGTGGAATTGCTGTAGTCGTATGTATATGCTGGCAGCTTAGTTCTTATCTGGAATATTTTAAGAATACTCAATCCCCACTTTAAAAAAAAAAAAAAAAAGTTAGTGATGCACACTAGCTTTATTTTGAAAAATAATCTGGTCTTACCTCTTTCATGGCTGTGTTTCTTAATCAGGAGTATCAGGCTGCAAGACTCCAGACAAACACTGAGAGTTCACATTTAATGCCACCGCAAACATGAGAGGTAAGGATGCACGTAGTTTACTGTGCTGTCAGAGGGTTTAGGCTCACCTTCTCTTTGCATAGCTGTTCTGTTGGTGTTCATAACAGACCTGTGCATCTGAAATGACTATAAACATTGAGGATGTAATAACGTTCTATTTTGTCTTGAAATATCTTAATTTCCTCTGTATTAGCATTCTGTGAAACTGATAGCTGCAACTGAAATGTTCCTTTTGACAGATCGAGCACATGTAATATGCAATGTCAATATGCACAACAGTACATATTTTGTACGCAATTGCAGATTTGCACCTGTTACTCCGCATCTTTAGAGTCACCTTTTGCATATGCTGTGCAAAAATATGTACAGACAGCTCAAACGGTTCTCATAGTTTGTAATAACTTTGCATTCAATAAACTTATTTTTAGATAAGGTATGTGTAAGTGCAAGATGTGTTTTATAAGAGTTTTTAATTAAGCTTGTTTATTTCATGTATATTTATTAAGACATATCTCTATTCCTATCCCTGTCATCCATCCCAAGCTTTGTGACAATAAATAAATGCTGGGCATGATAAAGACACAGCTTTTATTTGTCACGTATGGACGCCTGGTATCTACCAGCAACGTGGGCCACCAAGATGGAGCACCTTACATCAAGATGGAGATGCACGATCGCCACGTGCTCTTTGCCGTACGGATACCGCGCAGTTCGCGGCTGCACACCTACTTGGAAATTACGTGAAGCCCTTGGTCTGCCTCGGAGACACGGACACTTTCTCGCTATTAACTTCTGCTAATCTGAATCCTTTGATAAAGACGCTCCCGCCGAATCCCGCGGTTGCTCAGAGCAGCCGCGGCCTACGGCAGCACAAAACCCGTCATTTCTGAAGCCCGTTAACACGCCGGCGTCCTCCTGCTGCCGTCGCCGGGCGGACTCCCCCGGGAGTTCCCGCACCGTTCTCCTGGCGCAAGAAGAGCGCGCACCGCGCGGACCTAGCTTTTACCCGGAGCGCGCGGCAGCGCGGGCACGAGGGCACGGAACGAGGGGCGGCTCCAGGCGCGGTCGCCGCCCTGCCGCCGGGGGCGCAGCCCTGCGCGCGAGCGAGCGGGGCAGCGCGCGGGACGCTCGCGCCCTTGGGAAGCCGCGCGCGCGGCCCAGCTCCGCCCCTCGCTTCCCTGCCGCCCGCCATTCTGTGTGACGGGCGGCCACTCGTTCCCTCCTCCCGCTCTCGGGCCCGCGCTCGGTTCCGCGTCCGGCGCGATTGCGTCACTTCCGTCTCACGCTGGCGCTCTCCCTTTCCCCCTCTCCCCGGACCCGGATGGTGACTGGCGGCGGCGGCCGGGCCTGTCACTGAGCGGCCCCGGGCCTCTTGTCCTGAGGGCGGCGGCGGCCGGCAACATGGCGGCGGCCTCCTGCTCCGCGGCGGCGGCGGCGCCCGCTGGGCCCGGACCGGGGCCGGCGTCGGCCGGGCCGGGCTCCTGCGAGTGGCTGCTGCTGCGGGACGGCTGCCTGCGCTGCGACGCCGACGGGCTGTGCAGCCTGTGCTACCACCCGGCGCTCAACGCCATCCTGGCCGTGACCGCGCGCGGCGCCATCAAAGTCATCGACGGCACCTCGGGGGCCACGCTGCAGGCCTCGGCCCTCAACGGTGAGCGCGGCCCCGCGGCGGGGAGAGGCGGCGGCCGCCGTGCCGTGCGCCGTGGCGGAGGGAGGGGCGGCCTTCGGGCGGGGGTCGGCCGGCCCCGGGGCAGCGCCGAGGGGCGTACCCGGCTCCTCGGCGCCTCTCCGCGTTTGCGAGCCGGAGCCGTTCCTGCTCTCTCCGGCGGACGCGTTCGCGTGGGCAGCGGCGGGATAGCCGCGTTCCGTAACGCGGAGCGTCGTGGCCGCTGCGGGCTGAAGCGCGGATAGAGGAAGAAAGGGCCGCGTAGGGCGGCGTTTTGCCGCTTCGGTTTTTCATTGTCGGCAGCGTAAATTTGAGCCTTCGAGCGTGTTATGCTTGGATGGGCGTAGTTCTCGTTGCTGTCGATGCTGTAATGCGTGCGAGTACTGAGCCTTCAGCCGGGTTCGTCAAGAAGGCTTTCTCAAGGGTGTGATTTGTCTTGCCGCGAAGAATTATTGAAGATTGAAGTCGTTCTAAAAGTTTTTTGGTAGTGCGTTTTGAATGTACGTTTGCATTGTTCTCCAGGCTGCTGAGTGTCACGGCTGTCTTTGGAGCTGGTAGTAATATCTTTGCTGCAATGGTCAGACTAGTCCATCTTAGTGGCCTTTTCCAGCTTAAACTGTTCAGTGATCCTGTGGTAGAGAGACACAGTTACATGCTGGCTCAGGCTGCAGCACGTCGGTAACTACAAAGCAGTGATCTCTGTTGCCCACTGATGTCTTTTACTCTATTTAAAAACTAGATCTGTAGGAGAAGTTCCTTGTGCAACTCAGGCTTTTTTTCCCCCTAGTTTGTGCATTTGTTCTTAGGCTGTGACACTTGCCAGAATATTGCAGGGTGGTTTTTTGTATGTTGTGAGAGCAGACCTTGGATTAGAAATTTGTGTTCTCAGTTGTTGTGTGTTTTGCACTTTGTTTCTCCTTATTGTTGTAGAGTTACGTGTTGTGAAGTGGATCCGGCTTTGCTGAGTGGTGTGAGTGAAGGATTGACAATTGTCACCTGCATGTAGCCTAGCAATGTCAGCAATTGTACGGACATGACACAGTCTGAGTAATATATGTACTTTTACCTTGAAAACCAGCAACTGTATTATAGTGCCAGGTGAAAGAGAACAAAACAAAAGAACATGATGTCCTCTCACGATTTGAAGTTAGGTGCATTATAAACTCATAAGTGGTTGAAGAAGAAATAATTTCTGTGGGATTCAGAAGTTGTCAGCTGCTTTTGTTGTACCTTGCTTGTATTGAAAGTGAGACTCTTGTATGGTGTTCCCCACTTTGTTCAGAATTCAAATCACTGCTTCTAAAGTACCCTTTCTTCTACCTTACTTCTCAAATGCTTCTACATTAATAACTTTCATTTCTCTTCTTCAAATAGTTACCACAATTTGAGGCTTGCTTCTGAGTTCTGGGGGAAGTAGGCATAAATGGAGGACTTGATTTGTAATTGGCTGCCTGTGTAGGAAATGTTTAATGATCACGAGCAGAAGTGAACTCTAAATCAAAGTCTGAGGTTTGGGTTTGTGAAGGTTTTTTTTTTTTCATTTTTCTATGATAAAATTCTTGCAGGGGATTTGATTTAGTATTCAAAATGCTAATGGCAATTTTCCCCTCCATAGTAACTATTTAAAAATAACTTACTGCTCTGCCTGTGTTACATACGTTCAGCCGTGTG